TYMWTYYYYTTTTTYTTATTTARGTACTATTCTCGTATGAACACGACCCTATATAAAAGAGGCCCATACGAGAATRGTAGCTAAATAAGAAAATGAAAGAATAATTCTAAGTTAATMATTTATTTGAAGTCTTAAATAAAYTTTCTTAAAAATCGTCCMAAAARACATATGTATCTTTTGTTGCATATAGATTATATATGAAAATTCGTTTATTTCAATAAAAGTTTTTAATACATTTAATTAAGGTATTTATTTATGATTTTTTTTTACAATTCTCGTGATTTTAGCATTATTAATTTTTCATTTATTTGTTTGTTACTTTTTATGACATGTAGTTAAAGCATTGAGAAATAAAAATAATAAAAAGAGATGCACATGTGATGTGTAGTAGAACACAATTAATATGTATAAGATTACATATAATTCAAAACTAATTCATAATAAATATCACATATAATGTCGTAGATGAGCTAGCTGGCATTTGTTTTTAAAAAGTGCTGAAGTCTTATTTCAGCTCTGATTTATAAGAGATTGTGCTGAAGTGTGAAATATGAATCAATAAAACTGTTTGTTTTTGTAAACTGATAAAGTCTGAATTGGTTTAAATTGTATATTTTACTCATTAAAAAATTATAATGTTGAATTTGTAGATAAATTTATACAATTTCACATATTTATTCATCACTATTACAAAATTTGCATTTATTTAAACAAGATTATGTCATTAACAATATTAAACATATTTAAATCTTATTAAAATACATCAATTGAATGTGAAAATTGATTTGGTAAGGATCAATTGAGAGAATTGATCGATTAAAGTTAATCAATTGAGAAACGCCATTGTTTTTTTTTTTTTTTTTTTTTTTTTTGAGGGCTTAAAGAACAATAAGAGACTAATAAGAGTTGATTTACATCTTACAAGATAAGAGGACAATAAGACATAAATAACTCTAAAAATTGAAAAAAACAAACTGTCTAAATGACCATAACTCTTAAAGAATTAGAAATAATGGACTGATAAGAGCTTTTTCATAAAACAAACAAACAAGGTCTTACAATTCTTTTCCACTTAAATTTAATGTTATCAATATCACATGTGATATTTTGATGAAAATTAACGATTTTTTTTTGGAAAAAAACATCGGTTATTTGTGTATATCTCATGTGATTTTTTTCACGAAAATTGTTAAAAAAAAACTTAAATGAATTAATCCAATAAAAAATAAATTTTTCGAATGAAAAACTAAATCATGTTTATTTAGAATGCCATAAAAAACAAACAAACGAAAGTTAATCATGCTAAAATCATGATAATCATAAAAAAAATATCATAAATGACTACCTTAATTAAATGTATTAAATAACTTTTATAGAAATAAATGAATTTCGATGTGTAATCCGAATTTAACAAATGACATGTCTTTTTGGGCGATTTTTAATATTTTTTTTAATTTAAAATATGATTTTAATAAACAACTAGCAACGCACCCGCACACGATGTTGCACAAATCATTTTGATATACCAAGGTTAGAAATTATGAGTAAAGAAATAACATATTCAAGGTTAGAAGAATATTTTAATATACCAAAGTATTAACCTGAGCAACCCGACTAACCCGACCATCCTGACTAACCCGACCAACCCGACCAACCCGTACGGGTTGGGTTGGGTTGTACTTTGGTTTTTTGTTGGATTGAGTTAAGATTTTTCCAAATCACAAACATTGGATTGAGTTGTTCAAATGTCTTCAACCCTATCAATCCAACCCATGAGCACCCCTACTCGTATCAATCTTTCTCCATATAGAGACGGGTTCATCCGAAAAGAATAACCAAATAAAAAAATAGGAGAATGAATATAGACCACCTAATTTWTTAAATAATATCTTGAATAAATAATTCTAAAAATAAGTAAASAAGGGATAAAAAGAAATCTGTTTATACAAATGTTATTTAATTTATCATATTTGTTAATGTGATTTAATTTTCTATTAAAAATTTAATATTTATTTAATTCATTTAAAAAAAAGCGTATTTATTTTGTATTTCAAGGAATATTTTTGAAAAATTACAAATTTCGTCAAAAATCACATCAGAATCACAACTAATTGATTTTTCTTTTACTTTTTTTCCTAATCACATTTGTCATTTAAAGCATGAAAAAACTGATTCCAATTAAACATTGAGAATAAAAAAATAATAAAAATAAATCATATGTGATATGTAGTAGAACAAATTTAACATGTATAAAATCACATGTAATTGAAAACATAATTTATAATTAAGAAATATCACATGTAATGTTGTATATTACTTATAACTAGTTGGGTACCCGTACAATGTGGTGGGAGCCATGGATTTTAACGATTTTGAAGTTTCACTGGTTTTATTAGAGAAGGTTTAACAATGATATAAGTTACACTTGGTTTTTACATATTAATATAATTTGAATAAATATAAGAGTTATAATTCCAATTACAGTCTATCGATGAAAAAAATTGTATGACAATTTAAAACCAATATATTTAAAATCCAACATATTTAAACGACTCTACAAATGTATTCGATTTACACCAAGAGCAAAGAATCAAGAGATCGAGAGCGAGACCGCGAGTTTTAGAGCAATTGAATGTGTGATGAATGAGAGAACTTTTAATAACTAATGGTGAATATCAGTTTGAATCTCACATTGGAGGATGGGGAGAAGACATAGAGGTATGAGAGGGTGAAGACATGAGTGAAATGTGTCAAAAGTATTTTGGGAACATGAAAAAAAAGGTAATAATGTGTATTAGTAACTTGTACTATATGTTATTTTAATTATGGATTAAGAGATTTTAAGGCTGAATGCATAAAGTAGTTGTACTTAATGCTTTATGAGTTGTTTTTAAGACTTTGTGCATAAATATATAATACTTTTTGCATTAAAAATTATTTTTAAGACTTTTGATAAATCTGGTTTATAAGGTAGTATAGATTCTTTTCCACTTAAATTTATTATTATCATTATACATATGATATTTTGATGAAAATTAGCAATTCTTTTTTGGAAAAACGACGTCGGTTTTTTTGTGTATATCACATTATATTGTTGACGATTTTCGTTAAAAAAATCAGATGAATTACTTCAATACAAAAATAAAATTTTTAAATGAAAAACTAAATTATGATTATTTAAAATATCATAAAAAATAAAAAATGAAAATTAATCATTCTAAAATCATGAAATTTAAAAAAAATATCATAAATGAGTTCCTTAATTAAATGATTAAGTAGCCTTTATATAAATGAATGAATTTTCATTTATAATCCGAATGTAACAAATGACACATATTGTTTTTTGGGAATTTTTTTTAAAAAGTTTTATTTAAGACATGATTCTAATAAATGATTAGTTCATAATTATTTTTTTATTTTCTTATTTAGCCACTATTCTCATATGAGCCTGATTTTACATAGAATCAGATTCATACGATAATATTAACCAAATAACAAAATAAAAGAATGAATATGTATCACATAATTCATTAAATAATACCTTAAATAAGTAATTCTATAAATAAATAATGGCATAAAACTAATCTATTTAATACATTTATTTAATATTTTACTTTTAATATAATCTTAAATAAGTAATTCTATAAATAAATAATGGCATAAAACTAATCTATTTAATACATTTATTTAATATTTTACTTTTAATATATTTATGATTT